GAGAGAATGCGTTGCAGCTTGTATCTGGGACGGACTATTTTGCGACGAAGACGAAGCTGTTTGACCATGTCGTGGGGTTCACCAAGTTTTCAGAATTTTTGATCGTGGCTGAGGTCAGTTTTTTTGGTTGTCTTGTGCATGTGTTGTTGGTTGACTGGTTGTGAACTTGCAGTACCTCCCGACGAGAGGCACGCTTAACCTCCAGGTCTCACTTGATGGACGGACGTTCGCTTCTGGGAGCTTCCCTCCTGGCATGCATCCAGATTCACACGTAGGCAGCATGACTCTACAAACGCTGGAATTGCTCATGATATTTTCTAGGCATACACTGTCCTTGAGTCAAGCACCAAATCCATCTTCCTACACATGACCATGAACGAGGTGCCAACGCCATGGGGCAACATCCTCAAATCCAACTCTAATGGAACTTATTTTGGGCTGTCCATTGAGAACGTGAACAGGAACAATGGCGGCTTCGTCGACTTTGAGAAATTGGCAGGGTTGGATGGCATTGCGATGGTCAACATAGTAGCCAATCCTGCAGAGGCTGCGCTCACGGGCCGTAAGGCTCTGCAGACGAGGATCACGCATAATGACGGTATGCTTTGCTTAATGGGTATCTTTCACCTCTTGTTGACGGTTGCTTGTTACATCAGGCGGCACTTGGAGGCCGCTTGTACCCCCTTCGGTGGATTCGCTGGGTCTGAAGTACCCTTGTACATCAGTGGTATTTTGTGCTTTTTTGCGAATCGCTGTTCGACTGTCTTATTTTGTGGTGTTTAGGGCTGTGCACTCCACGTTCATGGGTATACAGAGCGCTTCGACGCTCGGGCGACATATAGTAGCCCATCCGTCGTCGGTGTGGTGATGGCAGTCGGGAACGTGGGTGATTCGCTCGCCACCTACACTGAGAGTGACACCTTCCTGTCCCGGGATGGCGGGTTCACATGGGAAGAAGTGCACAAGGACGCCCATCTCTGGGAGTTCGGCGACTCAGGGTCTGTCATCGTGATCGTGAACGACGAGGAGCCGACGGACCACGTCCTGTTTACCACAGATGAGGGTCTCACTTGGCGAGAATTCAAGTTTACGGCTGAGAAGATCAGAGTGAGGGATCTTATGACAGTGCCGGAGGATACAAGCCGGAAGTTTATGCTCCTGGGTCAGTATACTGGGAGGACTGGCTCCGTGGTCGTGCATTTAGACTTTTCATCCCTCACGCATAGAAAATGTGAGTAGGGTGCTCGTGCTCGATGATTGATGTTGAACTATTCTTCCAGGCCTCGTGGATGTGGAAGACCCTGGACACGATGATTTTGAGCTGTGGAGCCCCAGCGAGGAAAGAGACTCACTTTGCTTGTTCGGTCGACAGGTGAGTCACTCGAACTCAGGTGTTTTCTTTGTCACCCATATCATGTACAGACACTCTACCATCGTCGCAAACGGGATGTAAACTGTGTTGTTGGAGACACGCCCAAGGCGCTAGACAACGTTGTGAAGAACTGTACATGTACGCCGGAGGACTTTGAGTGGTGAGTCACGGGTATGATACCACCTGCTCAGAGCTGATCTCAATCTGGGCACGAAAAACAGCGAATTCAACTATGTCCGCAACGGAGAAGGCGAATGCGTTCTTGTGCCGGGGACGAATGCACGACCGTCAGATGATTCATGTCGCAATGGAGAAGACTATTGGTATGAACGCACAGCGTACCGCAAGGTGCTTTACTCCACTTGTGAGGGCGGCGACCGCATAGACCAAGGCACGCGACACCTGTGCCCTGGCATTAACGGCCACAGCGCGATGTTCTGGATGATAGTAATTTTGTTCCCCTTTGTGATCACAGCGCTTGTCGCATGGTGGTGGTACAGCAAGAGCGGAATGGCGAGAGGGCAAGTGACATACTTTATGTGTACGCGTTGTATGCTTATTGTTGACACACAGGACGATTCGTTTACCCGGAGGCGATTATTCGCATGGATCAGGGTCTGGTGTGATGGCTACACTGGCATCTGTACCATGGTTCCTTCTCGGGCTTTCGGGCATCGTGTTCGAATATATAGCATCAAGCCTGGAATCTGTATCGATGGGCTACCGCGCGCGGCGTGGATATAGGGATATACCTGTGGACGAGGATGCACAGGTCCTGCATTTTGAGGATGAGGAATGAGCGGGGTAGAGGTCTTACTTAGACGAGATTGCCTCGACTATATATTAATAGCTCATACTTGGCATACTGTCCTTATGGGTAGCCATAGCCAATTGCTTCCCTATGTATGGTGGTTCCTATTTTTTCGCCAGGCATCCTGTTGTGGGATAGTTTCATCCAATGGCATTTAATTTAGCGCATGAATTAGAGCAGGAGGATGGCATTAGTACTCTGCAATAAATAACACAGCGAATACAGGTATACATAGGTGATCGTCCAAATTCGATCTTTTGACTAGTCTATAACACCAAGATGATCTTCCTTGATCGTTCCGATGGCAAACTGACTTTGTGTTAACAATTGTAGTCGTACCAAAATTAAATAGACTCACGATTTCGGTAGCGTCAACGCGCGTTCCAACAATTTTTAGTCGTACACGAGTGTTCTTCTCGATGATCTATTTGAGACAAGGTAGGGATATTAGGGGGATGGCACATAAATGGACGATACCTGGTCCTCTGATGCAAAAGACTGGTGGATTCGAAGTCGGATCAAATTTCATGTCCGGGTGTATCAACTAGGAATGGCACGAGATGTTGAGTGAGGTAGAACGGAGAAGTATTCAAACTCACTTGGTGAGATACGAAAACCGTTAACGGCCCAACGTCAGCAAAGAAGCCCATCTACGAGCTATTCAGTACGGAGAAATAAGACATAATAGGGTGTGGCGCACCTTGTTAACGTTATTTACAACCCCATCGACCACTTCTCCCTTGAATGGCTTGAAGACTATTGCACGATAGCGGGTGATGAATTCGGCCTGGCCACTTCCGCTCAGTACCATGCCTTTTCCGATATCCAGGATTGAGACGACAGCAATGATGTACCCGAATGCGCCTGAACATGTTCCCTCGACAGTCTGAGTAGAGTTTTGACTCGAGGAACTGGAGCATCCGAGGGCCAAAGTATGACGGATGGAGGAGAATTGTGTGCGTCAACTCTTTCTGAGTATTGAAGTATGGTTATGATAAATTGACTGATGATAGAGCTCTCGAAGAGAGGTACTCACGATGAAGAACATGTTGGCTCGGTTAACACACGAGCGATCGTGTTGATGGATCACAGAGCGTACTAAGTTGTTTCTCCCTAGATGCTGCAGATGACGTAATACAACCTCTATCGTTTATAGTATGGACGACAAATTGCAATATGAACTTTGCGATATGACTTTGGGAACCGGGATATTGTGGATTCAATATCAATGCGAACATGGTTATTCAAGACCTACAAGTACTACCATGGATTGACTATAATAAGTACTTACTCGTGCTCACTTGACTCATGCGCTGATTTGGTTTTAAACAAATAGTCATGCCAGATGACTGTGACACCAGGAGTTCAAGAAGCTTGCTTGCTATCAATGAATCTACATACCACAAGGTATTGGGCGAAATCATTATTGTAAACGGTGCACGACATAATACAGTAGATAACAGACCTGATGTGATGCACGTTAGAGCTCGCAGGGTAAGCCTGAAGTAAAAAAAGCGGAAGGCCTTATTTTTCTGTAGGCCCCCTCCGGAGGGGGACTACGCCTCCCTTGAAACTATCTCCGAAAGACTCGCAGCTTCGGTCGGGGTGGATTTATTGATAGTGGTAGTCCATGGTGCGACGGCATCCTTCATCGCCGCGATCTCGCCATTCTTGAAACCTATCTCTTTCAGCTCAGATACGACAAAACGCCTGACAGTTCACGCTCCAGTATAGCTATTAATGTCAGCCAGTTTTACGCGTATTTCCAGAGATAGTTCAAACGCAGCGCAGAAGTCCACTATGAACAGGTCTGGTCCGAGCTTGGTGGAGAGGGAAAGCAGCGGGGTATTCGCATCACCAGATTGCTCTACAGGAACAGCAGGTACTGAAGCGGATTGTGCGGACACGCCGAGAGACGTGAATGAACAATGATGTGTTCGCCCACTATACCATATTCACCGGGATCAGTCCCAATGACTCGAACTCCCATGCTTGCATACTGCAACGAACAAGGGATATGTTGCCCTTGCGGACCGGTCGGTCAAATAAGCATATTGTCCCACATTATCGGGTGAGCGCACCCCTTCGAGGAAGTAGGGGTGGATGTGTATCTGCTTGGAAATCATCATATCAGAACAATGATAGACACTGACCAACAAGTGTGACGCAGTAAGTTATTCTAGGAAACCTTGTTCATCTGAACCAGAGCTTTCTTGATGCCATCAGACTTCAAACAGATGAGAACGGTCTCACGATATTCGTTTCCTCTGCACTTTGAAAAATCAAGCAGGTGTAAACGAGTCCGTTGTACGAACATCACAATGACACGGTGACCGATGCTAATTGCAGAGCCTTCATGGTGGCGCGACCGAGCATTGCCACTGTGTCAATGGAACTTCTCAGCAGTGTTCGCACCAGGTTTTCCTGAGTTGTCATCCGTAGCAATCAGATGCTAGATGTCTCATCAAGCGGGGGGGTTGGGAATCCTCGGTTTTTAGTCTTCTGCCGCATTGTAGAAGTGTGAGGACCTAGTTGTGGAACACCATTAGGGTCAGCCTAGTACTAGGAAAGTCATGACTCATCATGACGGTCTGGCGTCGATGCAAGGAAAGAGGTAGAGTTCCAATGGTCCGCATAGTAATAACAGCCTCACTGGGCGCCCACGGCGTCACTCCCATTGAGATGGTCATTCAACTAACCAGGATGGTCGTCTTGTGACGTGCGATTCGGGTCATCCCTGGGCCTGTGGTTCGATATCCTTCAAAAAAATATCTACAAACGCACAGTGTTGCAACCCCAATGATGTACAAAAACAGTTGGCCAACGTGGGGATCGAACCCAAGACCTTCGCGTATCGAGTCCGCCGGTAAGAAGATGAAGTTACCGGTCATTTTCTTACCAAGGGATCGTATTAGCACGACGCTCTAACCAACTGAGCTAGTCGGCCTTGTTAACGGTAGGGATGGGACAACAAACTACAGACCACATTTGACTCTTTGTGACAGTTGCTGTGACCTGAGGTGACAATGTGGCAGTGCTCTAGCAATTAAATCCTTATCGAGAAGTCCAAATTTGGTTTGGTTCAACTTGTTCTTTGACCAACCAACATCTTCAATTGCAGCAGCAGCTTCAGATTTCAACGATGGTCACCTATTCTGCTTTCTTTTCCTCTGGCCTTCTTGCGCCTTACCATCCCAGAGCAACAACTCCTGCACCACCCCCCTTGCCGATGCCGATGCCATCCAGTCCTATGCACCCTGTCGATCGCGATCTGAGCGTGACACCCACACCCGGTGGCAACTCAAATAACGTTGTTGCAGTAACCACTGCAAACGCTGACCGTCCTCGCATGCGCAGGCGTCGCAGTAGCATGAATATTGGTGTTAATCCGATGGCTCTTATCAAGTCCCCGACACGAAATGCGGGCAGCGCGTTTCAGCGTACTGGCGTCATGTCTCCCACTCGGAGTCGTGCGGGCAGCATCGCAGAGAATGCTTCAGAAACTAACAGTCTTTTTGGAAGACTAAGAAGTGGCAGTCTGAACGCAGGCGCTCCACTACGGTGAGTGGTTCCAATACCTATAATCGGACATCTTCTGAAACTTTGTGCAGCCTGCGTCGTGCAGTCAAGCGAACCGTCCCACTCGCTCCGCCTCCCACTGCCCCTCTCCCTGCACTCCCACCGCCATCT